GGAGAAGCAGAGGAAGAGGAAGACCTCCACTCCGTTGGAAGGACCAAGTGGAGAAGGACCTGGCTTCACTTGGAATATCTAATTGGCGCCATGTAGCGAAAAGAAGAAACGACTGGCGCGCTGTTGTTAACTCGGCTATAATCGCGTAAGCGGTGTCTACGCCAATCAAGAAGAAGAAGATACTGTTAAATAAAAAAAATACCACTATAACTATAAAGTTTAGCACGACTGTCGCACTGTTGTCTACACCAATAAAGAAGAAAAAGAATATTAAAATAAATTAATTTCTTATATTTTCTTTTATTTATATCATGTAAATAAAATAATTTGCAAAATTATCAAATAACAAACCCACATTTTCCTTATTTATTTTCTACATTGTGCGCACTACTATTATTTTGACCACAACTGTATGTATGTATGTATGTAAGGAAATTTTCACATATTCATACATATTTTATTAAACGCTCCGCTCATGGTAGATACATATGAAGATAAGTGTGCTCAAAAAGAGTACGGCCTGGCCGTTGAGCATACTTTGCAGAGCGGAATTTTTATAACCAAACAAAGCGCACAACAATTGCCAATTAAAACTTTTCCACAAAATCCAGCAGCGTTGTTAATACAAATATATGTTTGCATACACATACATGCATGCATTTTTATATACTATGTATAAATGTGCATACATATGTACAGACGTATGACGTGGGCCATGGACCAAMACCATGATGGCAACGCCACAAAATAAAAGGTTGGTTTACTTGAAAAATTGGCAATATGAGCAAACAGAGACATCAAGTCAGTCGATATAAACTTAATGGTGACCTGTTGGTTTAGATATGGATCAAGCGTTAACTGTATATAATCCATGCATTATTACGGACTTGCCATATTTTATAGAAAAACAAAAAAAAATGTTAGCTCCAACTGCACCGAAGCTATCATACCCTTTACAGATTTTCCATACGAAAACATGATTTTGATAGTTCGCTTTGTACAACTACATTTATACTATATTGATCCGATATCGGCGGTTTCGACATATGAGCAACTTGTTTCTATAAGGTCTTTGAAGTTTTATCCTTTGTGTTTCAAACTTCCTGGCTAACTCAATATACCCAGTTCAATGTATTAAAAACAATTTTCATGCATATGATTATTATTTTTTGTTATTATCATCTCTTCGTTTTAGTTATTGGCGCAGAGGGATTATCATCTTTGTAAAAATCTTTCAACAGTGCCATTGCTTCGTCAGCACAAACACCACCATTTACTCGAGTTTGTCCGTCTGTGTTGTTCGTAACAAACGGCACATCAACTAGCGTTTTGCCGCCAAAACGATCATTTGCGCAACCATATAAAATCTCTTTTACTCCCAAATCATGCAAGGCGGCTGAACACATTATACATGGCTCGACAGTGACCACAACACTGATTTTAGAAAAAACTTCATTAAAAGGTAAACTGTTTCGTTTGCAAAATTCCAAAGTTTTGTCTATACAAAGGAACTCCGCATGGCGTGTAGCATTTTTGGTTGCGTTTACATTGTTTCCAGCGCGCGCTATCACATCGCTCTTTCCGTCACCGTGATAAAGGAAAATACAGCCCACAGGTACCTCTCCAGCCTCCAGCACACTTTTAGCTTCTATGAATGCTTCGCTCATAAACTGCTCCATAAACTAATTTAAAAGAAATTCAAGATATTAACATAATTCGCATTAAATATTTCTACTAAATAAATTAGAACCTCTTTGTTTACAGTCAACTTTTTGTTTATTCACAAGTGGAGATTTTTCCGGAATTTAAACATTCACAATAATCAAATAATCAGCTGACAACCGTGTTAAAATAAAAGGTGAAAATCATCCAGAAATTTAAAAAAATTGTAAACAAAAGGTGAAAACCATCCAGAAATTAAAAAAGTTGTAAATATTTAAATATTTCACCAGACAGTATATCCCTCGAATATGCAACAGTTTGCCCAAACCTCGACTTAATACAAAATTAATTTTACCCAGCACAGGATATAATATCCAAATGGATTTTTCAGGTCGGATCTCTCTAGCATATAACTGAAATAAAACTGAACGATCATAATCAAATTATTGCTGGGAAAACTTTTATATTTGGCAAGTATCACCACGAAATTTTGGGTAGAACTTAAGGCATCTCTATATTATCCAAATAAATTTTTCGAATCGGATAACTATAGCATATAATTGTCATACAAACTGACCTAACAAAATCAAGTTCTTGTGGTATTGAACTTGTTTTTAATAGTGTAGAATATTCTAGCTTCGGCGTTTCTGCAGGACAAATTGAAATAAATTGTGCAATTATTAAATTCTTATTCAAAACATGTCTTACACTACTTGAAACACATACTAAAAAGAATGTATTTATATAATATGTTATTTATTTTACTTCAATAAAAAAAATTGAATTTCATTCATTCTTGTAATTTTGTGGATTTGCTCAAAAAATAATGCATATGTATAACATATTTTACTTCCATCGAAACAGTGGAATCAACTCAAATATAAATCTTTTTTTTAAATTTTGATTTTATGAACTCCTTTTTAAAAAAATAATACATTTCACTTTGAAAAAAATTAGCTCAATTGTTTAAGCCCATTGCTTTGTTTGTACTTTAGTTACTGATTGGATGTCAKATTGATTTAATATACGTATGCTCATACGTAATATACAAGGGTATTTCTACCATTCTTGGGTATCATACTTCATTGCTTATATACTTAACAAGATCATATTTATGTAAAAGTTCTTCGGCCCTTTCAGGCCAATTCTGATTATTCAATGCACGAGGACTTGGATGATGAAGTGTACAAACTTTAAAGGAATTCGCATGTCGAGAACGTTTGATCATTCCTTTTATATACGCTCCTATTGGTACTAGTACCTCCGGGTCCAATAAATCTATCTCTTTATCAAGAGCGTCCAAACACAACTTTCCAATAATAGTTTTATAATCTCCCTGTATCAAAATCACTTAAATTACTTACTGAATTTTATAAACCGTTATTAAATGTATAAACTATTTTACCTTCAATTCACAAGGCGTAATATTTCTTCCGTCTTTGTCGTAAAAAATTAACGGACAAAAATTATGTACAAAGCAATTTTTCCCAAAAGTCATCAAAGATCCTCCCGCCAGCTTTTTAAATAAACCCCATATCCGCACACCACTTGGTTCTTCTATAATACACTCCAAACCGTCCACAGGACGCTTCAAATGTACCGAAGGGGGTTGCATAACCGTACCGGACAATCCCATCTCATTACGAACAGTTAATATGTTACCAAATGGTACCTAGAACATAGAGAAAAATCTTAAATGTATCACTCTGCAATAGCATTTTATTGTCATACACCAGTTTGACCCATTCCATTCGGACCAGGATTCATGCCAACGAAAACAACCCGCTTCGGTCCATCTAAGAATTTTTCCAAGTAAGCACAGTGTAAGTTTGAGGCATAAACCAATGGATTGTACACATGTGTTATATTTGATGGCTTTTCAATAGCGTGCAAAGCATCGTTTAGTTGGCATTCTAAACTATAGAAACGACTCCAAAATTTTTGGCTTACAACTGGCGGTTTAGAGTTAGATGTTGAAGTTTGTTGCGAATCTGAAGATTTTTCTGCTGGTTGTAATGAAAGATGCCGCTTTCTAGTAGCAGCAAATTTCTGTAGGCTATTCAGTGATAGAACAGACTCTCCAGTAGAAACGTTGGCCGCTCCAGAAAATATTTCCTTTATTAATGTTTCGCGCGACATAGTAAATACTATTGATAACGACACTTTGTTAAAAACGATAAAAGGCAATTGAATATACAAAGAACATAATCAGTTGTAAGAATTTTAATTGTACTAGGAAAGCACAAAATACAAAACAACCAATAACTTTCGCCAGCTTCTAATTTATAAAAACTGTGAAGACTTATATTTTGTAAAATCGTAATTGAATTCAGATTTTATTCTTAAGTGCTTGTTCTTGTTAAGACAATTCACAATATAGTACTGTATTGCTTCGGGCATAAGTATTTTAAATTTTTTAAATATAATATAATATTGTAAATATGAAAAAAAAATTGGCTGGGATTTAGAATAGCATCCCCGGATTTCGGGAATAAAATGGGTATCTTCATAGCTGTCAAATAAGCAGGGAACGCGTTTGAGAGAAAAAGAGAGCCAATGCTAAAGTCTCATATCATGTTATCCATGACGAAAATATATATACATATATATATATATATATATATAGTTGCCGTTATAGTGAAGTGTTAGTAAGTGAAAAGTGCATAATATAAGTAAAAAATTATTCACAATATACAAATTATCAATGTAATACCATGTTCAGACCGAAAATTTAAAAGATTAGATTATATTTAAGCATTTCATAATCCAACAGTATTCTCACTGCCGTTAGAAAGATCAAAAAACAGTTGTTATTGTCATTCAAGAATTCACATCGCTTAATATTTATCAAAAGAAAAGATTGTCATATAGTATTTTGAAATAAAAGCCGTCTCTTTTTAATATTTTCAATATAATAGATGCATTTTTTCATTTGTTAAGTCGGTTTTCAGGTGAAATTAGATTCATTGCTTTAAAAAAAATTTGCTTGTTTACCTTTTTTTCCCTTTGTACTGCTAAATCGGCTGTGATAATGTAACAGACTTCCAGTGCTGACAAGTAGATTGCACAAAATCAGAGTCGCACAGAGAGATTTAGCGTGGATCAGTTTCAAATCATTTCAATGAAGTGATTTGGAACTGTCATTTTTGTATGGCGAAAGCTTGATAAATTTAAGATTAGTGGGATAATCCATTCAACATCCGAAATCGTGTGATTAAGTGTCGGTCTGAACATTTTTTCAACTTTAAATGCAAATATCTTTAAAACTATAAGTCAGCGGCAATTATATATATATATATTTTCGTGATCTGGAGAACGTCATCTTTCCAGTGATACCCATTTTATCCCCGAAATCCAGGGATGCTATTCTAAATTTTACCCAAAAATGTTTTCAAATTAAACACAAACTATTTTAATACTTCTATTGCTTTAATTCTGATCAATAGTTGTAAAGTCAGCCTTATAGCAGAAAAAGGCAAAAACGTAGAATCATGGCCCGTGTCAGCTGATACGACCCGTCTTATGGGCGCGCAATGTAAGTGAACAGTGAAAGACGCTACTCCCTTCGCTCTTTGACGTAGGATGCKGGAATCCACGGCATTTTGATTTTTGCCGTAGAAACATGTCAGCTGATTGCTCTCTCACAACGCAGGGTTGCCAATCTCGACATACGGTAGTAATTATAAAAGTTGTCTTCAATATGTTTGAAATTTTCTTAAAATAACTCAAAATCAGAGTCGAATGCTATTATTTATAAATATATATACTATTTTTAATACTTTGTTGCCAGTTTTGATATTTTATATTATGAAAAATTGTAATTGAAAACTTAGATGTGTACAAAACTATATATGCGTATTGAGCAATGGCAACAWTGTGCAAATGAAAACAAACAAAGATGGTTGATTTCTGCGTTTTTGCCACGTTTTTCACTGGGCACACATTTTATTCGAAGAGGAAGGAAAAGGGAGGAAGGCAGTAGCGTTTTTGCCTGTTCCTGCTATTAAGTTCTTTATATAGTTCGAAACAAAGTCCGTATGTTATTCCATATGCGCCAATATAAGAAGAAGAGTTTCATGTTTGTGAATTAAAATTGCGAAAAAGAAGAAAGTAGCCATTTGTTTTTATCGTATTTATATTTTGCCCCACAATAATAGAATTTTTAATTAAGTGCTTTATATATTATGGCGGGTGAGGTAACGGTTGATGCATTACCATACATTGATCAAGGCTATGATGACGCAGGAGTTCGAGAATCGGTATACAATAATATATCAGCAATATACAAAAATTTAAATGGCAATATTAAATGCAATTTAATTTCAGGCACTTGCTATGGTGGAGGAAGAATGCCGACGTTATAGGCCTACAAAGAATTATCTTGATCATTTACCACCTTTAAATGCAAATACCTTTGAAACCGAATTAATGGTGAGCGAATTTGAGAGAATACTAAATCGCCAACCAATGGAAACTCTAAGCATGAAACGGTATGAATTGCCACCTCCACCTTCTGGTAAACTATCGGAAGTAAGTGCTTGGCAAGAGTCTATAGAGAATTCAATGGCACAACTAGAACATCAATGGGTGCGTGCAATGAACCTGGAATTAATGTTGGATTATGGAATAGAGTCTTGGAAAGCATATTTAGAAGTTATAGCCGCGTTACAAGCTAAAACGCTGACACAGCTACAGGAATCAAAAAAGCAAATTCAAGATATTAATTGGCAACGTAAGCAGGCACAAACACAAGCTGGAGAAAAGTTAAAATCATTGGAGGCCAATTGGGTATTGTTGGTATCTAAAAATTATGAAATTGAACAAAAGTGTGCAGAGTTAGAGGATCAATTGCAAAAAGCGCTCATGGTAATTGAAAGTCTGAAAGCACGAAAGAGTACCACACTTACAAATGGGACACTTAAATGCCATAAAAAATTATTTACTTAACTCACTTTTATAGTAAAAATTAAAGAAAAAAATTGACAAAAAAATAAATATTTTTTAAACCGAAGTGTACATACATATGTTAATATACCCTCTTTTTATAAATATACATTTATATTTATTGTTGGTTAGTGGCCATTTAAATATTGTAAAAATATCAATTGATTCAAAAAAGATGACCAGCGTGTTGATCTGAGTCGATTTAGACATGTTTACTTGCGAACTAATTCCAACAGTTTTTAAAATATCGATCTAATGCTCATTTTTAAATACCATGGAATATAGCTGCCATCTAAACTGACCGATAGAAAGCAATTCCTTGCATAGAAAACTATTTTAGTGGACAAGATATCTTCTCGAAATTTAGCAAGTATCATAACCCAAGGCAGCATTACGTGCCAAATTGTTTTGATCGGATTACTGTAGCAGTAAGCAGTAGCTGCCATTCAAACTGGCCTATAAAGTCAAGTTAAATATATTTTTTACACGTTTATGCTATAGTTAATGCACCTGTGAATGGTATTAAAGCTTCGGTACAGCGTCACGAGTCATTTAAGGAATTAGCGTGGAAATTAATTTTTAGAACAGCCAATTGGACCTTAGGAAACTTATGCCGGTATTCCGCGAGCAGTCTCAAGTCTCTAATAGAGACGAATCTGTGGTGAAATCTATTTAGTGACTGTTTGGTATTCTGGCGAGTTTGTCTCATCCCTAATTGAGCAATATCAGTCTCTAACTTGTTATATGCTTTGCACCAAGTCATAGAAAAACAAGAGCAAAACACTGGCTGATGAAGTTGGACTATTTTACCTTATGATGAAAAAACGAGAAGCGGAAGAGAGGTAATGTATTAATATTTATAATTTTGCAATAATGGATAATAAGGTGCATATCTTCTAGATACATTCGCAGGCGCAATCTGACTGTTTTGCGAAACAAAAAATATCCGTTTTCATACGAAGAGAACACATTCAGGAAGTTCTTCCGATTTCCCAAATCTTTATGCTGGGATCTCAGTAATAAACTCAAGCCGTATGACAAACAGCGAACATCGATTCCATTTGAACTTCGGGTGAGTTACATTTTAACCTTAAAGAAACAATATGTTTTCATGCAATCAAATTTCTCTAGTTTATTTCAGTTTTGCATTTTTATGCAATGACTCATATCAGTGTTGCGTGGGAAATGCATATTTCGCGGTGATGAGCCAACCAACCATTTCCCGTTGTATCGAATATATTTGTAAATTGGAATTAACTATTTATGTTGAAGATTACAATAGAATTGAGACTGGGTAAGTTGTTTTCCATTTTAAAAGAAAATAAATCGCTGTACAACAATTTTTATAACTAATTAATAACTAATTTTCCCAGTAGGTTTGTGACGATGAACTAATTTTCCGGCACGTGAATGCAAAATTTCCCGGCTCATGTCATGACTCCGGTATGTGGACTACTTCGCCAGCAAGGATAAAGCTAATAAGAGAACACTCTGATGGAGCTTTTAAATGGCTTTTGGGTGATTCGGGATATCCATTGGAGCCATGGCTTCTTACACCGGTGGCAAACCCTGAAACACATAATGAACAAAATCTTAATACTAGACACATAAGAGCAAGAAACACGATTGAAAGAGCATTTGAAGTTTTAAAATCACGCTTTCGATGCATTTCAAGAGAACGTACATTGCGGTACAAACATTCCAAAGCTGCATAATTTGTTTATACTTGCATTTTTCTAAATGAAACCGAAATATTGCCAGATAAATCACCTGAAAATGTGGGAGCAATCTCTGAAATCCATTCGGGGGAGTATTACACTTGAGGCAGAGCAGCACGTCAAAGGTGCATTAACACATTAGATAATTAAAATTATACCAATATATAGTTCAATTCAAACATCATTTATTTCATTTATAAAATAAATAAACATAACAAGAAAATAATACTTACATATATACATAAAAAGGAACATTTTTAATTTTCACTTTTTGTCACAATCTCCTGTTTTTTTTCACAATAGTCTGAGCAAGCGACACCATCGCTGCCGCTAAATTGTTAATAGACTCCGTGTGTTTATTAATGGAATCTAAAGTTTTAATCCGGAAATCTCTTTCCTCCTCGGCTTTCTCTTTCATTAAGTCCATATAATTTCGGGACATTTCGTCCGTCGTCATTTTTTTGCTACTTGACGATGACGGAGTGCACTCATTGGACGCATCCGAAGTCGTATTCAGGGGCGATGGCCAATGGCTGGTACATCAGCCAATCCATTTACGGCTATGGACCCCAATGTATCCAACGCTTTCTGCTCCGTTTCGGAGAGCTCAATTGTTGAGCTGGGACCGCCACCTGTCACCAGCTTGTGCGCCTTGGCTTTCCTTGCACGAGGTCTTACTTGGTTTTTCCAATGGCTCATATTCTGTAAAACAAAGAACATAAATACATATATACAATGCCAATATCTATGCTTAAAAATTACCTCTCTCCATTTGATGGGGTCCCGGGTAGGCCTTTTTTGGGAATTTAATTACATGGAAAGTTCCGCCCAAAGCTCCTCCATTCTTTTTGGCCGCGATGGGTCGTTTTTATTAAACTTTATCTCCGGGTGAACCCGCACAAAGTTGTGATAGCACTCTATTTGCTAATTTGAGGTGCGCGACACTTTATTATGATCTGTAAACMTATACTGTAATAATTATAATATAATGAAATTTATATTGTTTACAATTACTTGCCTTCCTTTTCCATTATTATCAAATATAAGGATGAACACATGTGTTAATCGATAACTATGTTGTTAAATTTTTTCATATTTTCCTAACAATTGATTCAGATAAAATGCATATGTTAAGCATTTATTATAAACTATTTCAGTATTAGTTTTCAATAATTGTACTGTGCAATTATTAAGAAGAAGTTTTACTGCTGAAATCTTATGAAAACAAAAACTAATTGCATGCAATCGTTTCATATATTATCTCCCACCTTTCTCGCTTTTTCTCTGAAAGGAGCCTAACATATTCGCAAACTGGACGAAGGACTACAGGCTAGACCTTTACTTTGCAATTGTCGACTGTCAGCAATCTTAAGATCTTAGGTGCCACCGGACAGCCTGTACTCCTTTACTCCTCATACGACCCCGATAACTGCCAAATAACAGAGTCGCAACAAAATCATGAAGACACTAGCCAGCAGCACATGGGGAAAAGACCTTCCGGATTTTCGTACATTTGATTTAATCCACCTAATGATCCTGTAATAGTTGAAGCAATAATTGCCATAAAAATTAAGCTGTTTTGTGCTGTGTAAGCAATAGTATACTATACCATATAAATATGATAAACAATACCATATTACCCGCACAATACATTATTAATAAGGGAGTAATGAACGTTTACAAACGTGACAATTAAATATATTCGATGTTTTATTACGCATCTATTATAAAAATAATTAAAATAAAATTTAATGAAAGATAAAGGCCTCCTTGGCTTAATTTTTTTCAAAATCAAATAAAATTTATTTCTGCAAAAAAAAACCTGCAGAAAAGTTTTATATGCAGGAATCGCAAGGAAATAGAGCACTTCTCTTTGGAATACACTTGTCGTTTTGTGTGCTCCAAAAATGCTTGAACCAATTTGTGAAAATGGGTATTTGTACCCATCCAGATAGATGGCACGAAGATTTCGCTTCAGGTGGAGCATCTTTCATAAGAAGTGGGTTATTATTCTTTCTAGGAAAGCGTTTACGTTTATGCTTCATCTTTGCAACTCAAAAGAATTACGTTACAACCTAAACAGTTGGTCTATCAGTCTTAAAATACATAAGAAAAGATATTCGAACTTCCGATGGATTTTATCCATAGACATTTATGTATAGTACATATGTTTATAATGAGATGTTTAACTCCTCTCTCACTGGAAGTGAGGGAACAATAGCTAAAGGTAGGAGGTTTTGACGTTTAACAATTGGAAACGAGCGATGGCCAGATTGAAATCTAAGCAAAAAAAATATGTAACTGGAGGGTTTTGTTGCATCGTTCAATACCACTTATAAAAAATTTAAAACAATGAAAATTAAATAAATTTGTGAAAATTTAAGGTATTTGTCGAAAGATTTTGTAATTTGAAGCATCATAGTATTATGTTCAATAGAAAATTATTAAAACATTTAATAATTGAGAGTAAACAAGCTTAAATCCTTTTATTGGGCATTGAAAGGTGAAAAATCAGTTATTCTAATATACTTTAAAAAAAATTTAAATCGTTTCTCCATATAATAAATAACCACTATATAGTAATTTTTATTCGTACTAAATGTTGATTGTTTTAATTCAAATGCTCAAAAATTATTATTTTGGATTATTATAATGGAAAATGTTATAAAAAATGCTAATTTTGAGGTGCTCTCACACTGAAATAAGTTGAACATCCCTTTATTCCTTTATTCCTGGGAAGTTCACAGTGAAAAACGCTACTCCCTTCTCTCTTTGAAGTGAGGAACACAATGCTCGCGACAGACTGCAGCAGCACGACAGTGAACTGAAAACGGCGTTGTGAATCCTACTACGTGAACGTTTCTGAGAAGGCAGCAACATAACAATGGCCAGCATGTACACAAAACAACGCAGTTGTCCATTTTGCATGTACACAATTTCGTTGTGGCCATACTAATACCTTGTACTTCAATGAAATTTTAATATTTTGTTCAAAGTGATATTTTTAAGCAAARTATAAGTAAATAGGTAAATTTATTTGTTTTAAATCATCAATTTTACATAGTAGTGGCATCACCACTCTACCTCATCTCTCTATCTTCCATTCTTACAATTACAGTATAGGGCCCCTGACTTTCGATATTTCAATACTTGATAAGGTAAATTAAGCCTGTTAGTTCTAAATTAATAAATGTTTTTAATCATTTGTAATAGGAAATTAGTTCTATTATGCATCAAATTACAAAACGTTTCATAATATATATTTAAATTTCGCATTTTCTTTGATTTTCATTATCATTTCAATAAATTCCTCCGTTCACATATATTTTTGGTATAATTTCAATCTGGCCGTTCTAGTCATTCCAATTGCAAAACGTCAAAACCTACTCAATCCACTCAACTGTTAAACATCTCTTCATCTCTGGATAATGAGATCGACAAATCTTAGCAATTGCTAAACGTCAAAACCTACTGAACTTTGACAGCTAATCGAGTTCAGTAGGTTTTGANTACAGTATAGGGCCCCTGACTTTCGATATTTCAATACTTGATAAGGTAAATTAAGCCTGTTAGTTCTAAATTAATAAATGTTTTTAATCATTTGTAATAGGAAATTWRTTCTATTATGCATCAAATTACAAAACGTTTCATAATATATATTTAAATTTCGCATTTTCTTTGATTTTCATTATCATTTCAATAAATTCCTCCGTTCACATATATTTTTGGTATAATTTCAATCTGGCCGTTCCAGTCATTACAATTGCAAAACGTCAAAACCTAATCAATCCACTCAACTGTCAAACATCTCTTTATCTCTGGATAATGAGATCCCCAACTCTTCTCTCACTGGAAGTGAGAAAGCAATTGCTAAACGTCAAAACCTACTGAACTTTGACAGCTAATCGAGTTCAGTAGGTTTTGATGTTTATCAATTGGAAACGAGCGATGGCCAGATTGAAATCTTACCAAAAAAATATGTAAATGGAGGGATTTGCTGCAYCGTTCAAGACCACTTTTAAAAAATGTAAAGCAATGAAAATTAAATAAATTTGTKAAAATTAAAGGTATTTGATGAAACGTTTTGTAATTTGAAGCACCATAGTATTATTTTCAATGGAAAATAATTAAAAACATTTAATGATTGAGAGCTAACAAGCTTAAATCCTTTTATTGGGCAYTGAAAGGTCAAGAGTCAGTTGTTCTTATATACTTAAAAAAAAATTTAAATAGTTTCTCCATATAATAAATAACCACTATATAGTAATTTTTATTCGTAGTAAATTTTGGGTGTTTTAATTTAAAATGCCCAAAAATTCTTATTTGTTCTATCTGGCCATAATGGAAAATGTTATAAAAAACGTTTATTTTGAGGCGCTCTCACACTGGAATAAGTTGAACATCCATTTATTCCTGATTATCACTGGTCGGTACTAAGGAAAGTGGATTATTATTGACACCTGAAATTATATTTGCCTGAAATAGTAGGTCTTCATATTTGTATACATATAAATAAAAACATGTAAGTATATAATGGGATACATTTTTAGTTAAGGGTAACAAGGCTAATAATTAACTAAGAAAGGGTTACTAGATTATCGGGGCACGCGTTTTCACTCTCCCATTTACGCCCAGGATCTTTTTTGGGTCGTCATTCGTCATTTATTTATGTATATAAAAGTTGTKATAAACGATATACCACGGTTTTTGATTTGATATTTAAAGGTATTTATATTTTTTTTTATGTCTTAACCAGCGTTATTGTTAGTCGATTAAGAACTGCAAGCGAAAGCTTGAGTAAAAATTGAGATAACGTGATGACATGTTTCTCGACACGACAGAGAGTTTGGTATTACGGATATGTGTGTGTAATCGGGTTATTGTGACGTGCACAAAATCCCATTATCGAAAACTTCTGGAACACAGTTTTTTGGCACGCAGCTCGCAAACATGTTGGTGGCATGGGCATGTATGTATGTGTGTTGGCAACCGGAGTTGGAAATTTGGTGTTTGTTAATAGCCCTGACAGACAACAGCGCTAATATGCATTAGCGAGCTATAGCCCTGACAGACGACAGCGCTAATATGCATTAGCGGGCTTAATTTACATTTATTTGCGCATTTGACCCATTGCAAGCTTGCAATGCACAAGAATTTCTTCAAAATGGCTGATTTTTGCTATTTTTTGACAGATGTCGCTTGAAGTCTGCCGCCTCCTTTGCGTTTACAGCATCAGAGGTTAGCAGTTTTTATATTGCTAATTAAATTATGTGCAAGTATATTAACAAAAACAAATTTTAATATTTTTCGATTTCAGAAAATAAACAACGCACAGTTTGCTATCAATTTTTCCAATGTTCTTTACTTTTTCCGCATTACAATCAATTATTGCTATTAATTTCACTCCATTATCTTTTAACGTAGTTAATAATAAACGAATTTTATCGTTAAATTTATATTGTTTTTCCAAAAATACCAAAATTTTTATTAATAATTTATCTTATTCAGTTTAATTTCACTTTTTTTTTTTTAAATAAACAAATTTCACTATCAGCTGTCTAAATGCACAAGTCTGCCGTATGTCACCATAAAGTTTCAATGCGTATTAGCGTTGCTTAAGGCGCATTAATTTTGCTCGTCTGTCAGGGCTATAAGTGTATTATGGACCAACCCTTATACCTAAATATATTTAAAGAATATGTACATCAAAGTACTGACGGATACGTAAAAATTTCCGGTATTATCAGGATTACGATCCTAAACTCATCTAATAAATCCACAAATCCTGTCAATCGTCATGAACCCGATCATAATTCACGTGCATAAAATAAGCTGCAAGCATTGTACATTAGAAGGACTAAAGTTTTTCTATAAAATCATGTACGCGGAAAAAGTTCTACGGATTATTCTGAACAACTTTGACAAAGATACTATGGGTCTAAAATCTGAATTATCCGTTGATGATAAGAAAAAAAAGAAATTAGGATTTTTCGCAGACAGTTTCACAAAAAAATTGAAATTTCAGTGATAATTTTGCGAATTTTTCTTTTAAATATTATCTCAAAAACCTGTGTAAAATTTCATGAAAATCGGTTGAGTAGTTCTCGAGAAAATTTGCCAACCGACTTCAAAAACACAGTTTCGAGAAAAGAATATTGTAGAGGTGATGTCCATTTTTGAAACCCGTAAACCCATGTAACGCCATAAGTGTGCAAAATAATTGTTTACTGCGTTAAATCATACGAATTATTATTTAAACAGCTGAAAGTCTTCGAAAATCAGCTTTGACAATTATCAAAAACGTGACGAATAATCACTTATAGTATATCAATTTTGACTTTTAAATTTTTATAGGAGCTTAGACGTTTCTTTTTTAGGTATTCCAAACTTCGTTGCAAAACTTATATACTCCATTAAGGGTATGAAAAAGATGAGCTTAGAAAGGCCATCCCGTAATATGAAAACATGTTTACGTTATTTATAAGTTAAGTTAAGATCTTTGTACAATGTAATACAAATCAACTAATGCTAAATATTTTCAGAGTTCAAAATGCAAGGAAAACCAATGCAAATTATAAGCATTTGCGGAGAAGATGATTCGGTTAGTTCTCGTTGTATTCTAGAATTAAATGAAGTTGGATTAAATGAGGTGCTCATGAACGAAAAAATCAAAGATCGCCTAGTATCTGTGATTTCCGT